GCAAACCATTTCTTACTTAATAGGAACAGTCAAACTTGAAAGCATTCCTGCTGCTTCTTTGGCCCCATTGACCACCATATTCATCAGCAGTAAACTATTCCTCCCTAGAAATCCACAGCCCCACACCCTTCATGAAGTTCTAAAGTTATCAGGAGACAGTGTCTTGATAATGTTAAGTGACCTGAATAGCCCAAGTAGGAGTTAGCTTCTTCTGGGCCTCTTCAGCCAAAGTTAGTGCAACTGCAACTGCAACAGCTCCTTCTATTCATTAAGTTGGTCTCCTTGCTTTGCTAGTTTGCTTCCTGCTGAGAGTAATTAGGTTTCTTATATAATAATAATTCCTTGTATTTAGATGCAGCCTTTCTCTAAGGACCTTAAAGTACCTCTCAGACATTAGCTCATCTGTTCTTCTAACACAATGGCCTCATGAGATAGGTGCTAATTATTCCCCTTACAAAGACCAAACAACTAAGGCTCACCAGAAAGTGGTGCTTCCCCTACACCCCCAAGGTAACACAATATCAGTTGAACAGCATTGAGTCAAATTAAGGTCACCTGATTCCTTGATAGTCTGCCCTACGTAGCTCTCAGGGTCCGTGGAGTGATGAACTCTTTACAGCTGGCATTTCCTCCACATTTATAAACCTCGTTAATAATGGGCATCGGTAGTGTTCACTCCTTTACTAAACACAACCCTCTTCTTGCACTATGATAGAGAAAAATCACAGCATCATTTCACCCTTCATTCAGTGCAGAGAGTGTTAAACTGTGCAGAGTAAATAGCCTTGTCTAACAGTTAAGTATCTGCAGAAAGTAAAAGTAGGTAATTTAGACTCTGCCAGATGCGCTCCACGTTTAGAGCATTAGAACGTGTTTTAGTTTTCAGTATTCGCTCTGATCGCTCTGCATAGGCTACCTCTGCCTTTCTGGAGTTGAGGTCCTGAACTTCTTTGTATTCCCACCTCCTCACAGCACTTGTCACACAGCATATGCTTAGTAATTGAGGGAAATAATTCTTTTTCTCTTTCCTCACTCGGAAAAGGAAGAGTAATAATATATATCAACTTCAGAGTGGTAAATGTAATCCAATGGTTGTTATATATAGAAAGTAGACTTGCTCAATAAAAATTTAAAAATAAAAAATTAAAGACGATTGTGATATTAAAATGAGACCTGGCCACCAATAGAATCAAAAACCGTTTACTAGTCAGATTTCAACACATTGAAGTCACATCAAAAACAGCTCCTGAAATACAGATGTTATTATAGTTGTTTTCCGCAGTTGCCATTTGCTTTCCTGTCTTGATATGGTACTAGACTCCTTTAATTTTTCCTTACCTTTTTTCCTTATGTTCTTACCTTTTATCTTTTTCTGTTTGAATTAATGTAACCCATTACACAGAGCCAGTACACTAAAACTAGTATTTTGAAAAGACCAAAAATGTCTTTTGAATAAGTCAGTTGCTGTTTATCTCATTGGAAATACTTTTAGGACAATCAAATGATTCATGAGATTAACAGGACTTTTATTGGGTAAACCTATTCCTAAACAATTTCTGTGTTGTTCTGTGAAGCCATAGAAATAGAAATAACAAATTGGTACAGGAGCCGGCAGTGTCTGGGACACGACACACAGAACTGTGACAGTTCGCCCCAGATTTGCCTCTCCTGAGTGGATGGGCAGTCAGACTTCTAAGACTCCCCAAATTCTTCCTCTTTACAACTTGAAATTAAGATTGATGGTGATGGAATAATATTTCATTGAGTGGATATCTGCAATCTTTTTCTATTCTCACTTGCTGTGATTCCAGTTTTTCCTGCATTTGTTAAAAGTTCTGTAATATAGTCCGTGGTCTGATTCCAAGTTGCCCTCATGAGTGCATTAAATGTTCCTGGGCATGTTAAACTGGTGTATTTGCATTTTACTGCCAGGAGGTTGTGCTATAAACAATGGGGTTGAGACACCAGCATGAGCCAGGGGATGAAATTTTATTTTAAAATCTGAAATGCTGTGTAAGCATTTAAGGTATGAATCGGTAATTGTTTCACAACAGCTTCCATTAGATATGGTTTATTTGTAGTCCATCCTCTTTTCAAGGATCCAGGGGAGGTTAACACACTGAAGCGTACTGCATATCATTTACATTTTTAAACCAGCATTAAAGGAAAATGACCATAACTTTTAAGACTTCTAAATTTTGGAATGGACTTTATGCCTCTGTCCATGTAGAAAACACAATTCTAAATTTTTCATATGAAAACAAGAAAAGAAACCTTCGCATTTTGATTAAGGATTTGAATAATTCTGAAACAGAAAAATACCGTTAAAAAAAAGAAAAGTCTGGTTCTAAGATTGAGAACTCTTTTTACTCTTAATGAATTCAGTAAAATACAAACTTTTAAAAATCATCTGTCTAATTTGAGATTCGAGATCATCAAATTCTGTCTAAATATTTTGTTTTAACTTCTAAGCTCATTATGGTCTCTTTGTGTTAACTTGTATTAAAATCTGTCAGCTATGACTGGTCTCATAAGCACAGTCAGCGGACCAGAATAAGTTAATTATTTACTTGTGTCACTAGTGCTCTTCATCTAATGAAATGCACAGCTGTGTCAGATCTGCAGTTGGATGTGTAGCTTCCATTGTTCCGCAAGTCAGCAGAGGGTAGAAGCCGCAGTGATGGAGAGCCCTCAGTTCTTTCTGCTGTTCTGGCTTTCTGTGTCGATTTCATGGATCTTTTATCATTCACTTTCACACAAAACAAACAACACAGGGCTGTCTGCTATGGGAACCATCTTGGCATATAAAAGGGTTTTCAGAGCCTAAAGTAATTTTAAGTTAGCTAAGATTTAATTTTTGGCTCACAGGTGCTTTGGTTCAGATATAGCCAAAGCAGTTCCTATAATGGAATGAAAAAATCTAAAAGCTATGTGTATATATATATATTTTTAACAAAATGTCAGAAAAGGGCTGATAAGAAACAACTTCCCAAAAAGGAAACTCTATACTAAATATTAATCAGATGTCAAGCAAAGTTATTAGAAATTCACATTTCAGGGGAATGAGCATTTTTTCATTTTAATAACATAATAAAGTTGAATTTGCTTGATTAAACATGTCAATTGAAACTAAAAACACAAAATGCAAGTCATCGCTCCGTACCCTCCCCCAATATAAGTACGTCATGCTTCCTTGGTCAGTTTCTGTACCTCCTGCCCCTTGTTCCCACCTTCTCTTGTTGGAGGGTGGACAGGCAGCTTCCTCCTGAGCAGACGCCAGCGTCCCCCTGTGAACTGCTGCTTAAGGGGTGCCGAGGTTTTTCTTTGGTTTTGTTTTTAAGGGGTGTAGCTGAACCCTCCATCTCCTGAGCAGCCAAAATTACATTCTCACCCGAGCACGTCCCGAGACCGGCCCCTTTAGGAATTGCCGTTTCTAACATTTTGTTCACTGCTAAACAATGTTGTTGTCGGTGCACCTAGATTTACAATTTGATCTCTTTCAAAGTAGATTTCTCAGTAGCCCTGGGGTTTTGTCAGATAATTTCAGTGTGGATAAGATGGATTTTTGGAGGAAAGAAAAAAGGGTCACACACTCTGCTTGATTTAAATTCTAACACATTGTAGCTGAATTTGAAATAAAGTGAACAGAATGATTGTTTCTGTTCTTCATGTAGGAAAGCATACATTCTTTATAATAAACAATACCATTTCAAGCAAAAAGCCAACTCAAGGAACTACATGCTCTAGAATTCAGCTCCACAAATCTAATAACCATTTTACTGGCAACCACTAGAAATCAGACTATTAATAACTGATACTAAATAGGCAAATGGCATTCTTTTCCTTTAGACTTTAACTCTTAGTAATTAAAACAAATTTCAAAAAAAATTATTTTAAGTAGTTTGAGTAAGTAGGAGTCAAACTGAGGAATGAAAAATTTGAGAGTGGTTTCTTTTCAATAGGTGCAGATGTTTAATAACTTTACACACGGGGAAAAGGAATTTTATCTTACTGCAAATATAAAAGTATTTTCTTAGTCCATGCACTTGTACACTAGTTTTCTGATTCTAAATAATGGAGATTTTAGTTAATTATCTAAATTCTATTCCTACTCTTCCTCCCAAGAAAAAGAAATCAGAGTAATTAAAAACTATTTAGCAACAAAATCCCCTACAGGTTAGAATAATATTAAGGGAGTAATAAAGTACAGTTAATTTAAGAGAATATCAGTAGTGCATAGAGTTGGTAGGTTTTTGTTCTGTTTTCATTCTTAGAATTCCATTTCTAATTCTAGGCTTTTTTTCTAAAAGCGATTTGGCATTTAATTTTCTTGTTCAACTTTACAAGTTCAATCAAAGATCACTTTTCTAATGTGCTGTAAGCTATAGGAATTAAAATTCCTTCAGGCAGTTTAGACTCAGCCATGGAAGCCCTGGCAAAAACCAGCCAACCAGCCAGAGCTCTGTAGCCAATAGGTAGACCTATTAGCACATCAGCCACACACGAGTACTTCTTGTCACAGTTTTTTAAATCCACTTTTTAAGTACACCCCTCATTCGATCACTTCTGTGTTTGGTGATCAGAGAACTTGGATTCCTATAATTTGGGCGTAGAAACTAGCAGATCATGAACTAGCTGATGAAGAGCAAAACTGCTGCTGACTTAAAGCTTCAGGGACATCGGCAGATCCAGGGCCCAGCGAAGTCTCTACCCTTCAGTCTCCGTGGCATGGGAGGGTGGACAAGCAGCCTGACAGCACCATTGTGTGTCATGCCAGCAGGACAGTACTCAGGCTGCAGTGCCTTTCTGCAGGGAGAGTCATTTTTGAACTGTTTGTGTAGCAGGATTGTTCGAAATTGCTTTTGTTACTCTTGATAGGGACCATGGGGAAGGTTTTAGAGCAGTGGAAATAGAGATAGCAGCAGGGAGATCCCAATTAAGTACTGTATTTTCCTCTCTGCCGATTTGCTTTACATGGCATGAAATCTTCTCTCCCCCAGGTGTTTGTGGCTTGATTGTCCCCCAGGAAGACATGCCATTTTGTGATTCTGGCATTTGTCCGGACATCATAATGAACCCACACGGCTTCCCATCTCGAATGACGGTTGGTTGTCTTTAGATTTTTCAGAGATGCTGCCTTTAAGGAAGAAAGCATGCAGTTAGTTTAGTTATAGTGAGTGGAAGTGATGGGACCCTGAAGCTGATTTTTAGAAAGAGGCGTTTGGCCCCTTGCCAGATAAACAGATTCCTCAGTTCTGGGCCACTCTCCTCTACGGGGAGAATGAGGAGCTCATCTGCACTTCCCTTCAAGAGCAGAGACTTCTGAGTGATGAATTTACCCCTCAACAAGGAAAGCCCCTTATATCAAACCTCAGTGGATCTCCCTTTTGAGGGTTATTCTTTGCAGTCCTGGCTCTACCTCTTACCAGCTGTGTGGCCTTGGACCAGTTGCTTAACCTCCCTATACTGCAATTTCCTCATCTGTAAAATGAGAAAATAATAGTACCTACATCATAGGGGGATTGAGAGGTATAAAATTAGATCATGCATGTCAAGCTTTTTCAACAGTCTGTCACAGCAAGAGCTCAATAAATGTTGCTGCTATTAATTTATCACTATTATTAATAGTAGTAGTCTCAAGCCAGAGATAAATCAGCAAAGAGAATTCCTATGCCACAGGGAGGTACTCACATAATTTGTTCACATCCCACAGGTGGGGAAGTTAATTGAGCTGCTGGCTGGCAAGGCCGGTGTGTTGGACGGCCGGTTCCACTATGGCACTGCGTTTGGAGGGAGTAAAGTGAAGGATGTGTGTGAAGACCTTGTTCGCCATGGTTATAACTACTTGGGAAAAGACTATGTTACATCTGGCATCACAGGGTAAGTATGTGATGGAGCCATTTCAAAGAAAAAGAATGGTTTTATTAGAATAGGAGGTAAGATCCCTTAAGACACACTCCTTAATTGTACCTTAAGAAGTGTACCTTAAGATGTAAGCATTAAGGACTAAGGAGGAAAGCTTTATTTCTTTAAGAAATCTGATACCAAAAAAATCCAAATTTAGAAAACTGACAAATTGAAGAGTGCCATTTTTACTGGTAAGGCTATAATTTTAAAAGTAGAAAAGATTTAATTTACCAAAATGACTTCTGCCCTTCTTCTAAGTAACACATCAATTGTATATAATGCAAAGGTTTCCCTTACCTGTTGAACTCTCTGCATTCATATGATGAGTATCAGATAGTTAATGCTTTCACAGATAACCTGAGTCCTAGCATTTGTGCATTTTTTCACTAAAGATGTGTTAAGCACCTACCTGATATGTGCTAGACACTGAGTATATACCAGTTAATATAGTAAACATGGTCCCTGACCTTTGGAGCTGACCATTTAGATATGTTACTAGACATTAAAAAATAACAGACAAAAGGTTACTTCTCAGTGAGGCCTGCCATGACTACCTAATTTAAAACTATAACCCAGTGCTGCCCATTTCCTGCTGTATTTTTATCTGTAGCACTCCTCATTATCAAATATACTATGTAATAATACTATATAACACTATTGTCTGTCTCCCCAGCTAGAATGTAACCTCCATGAGATCAAGCCTGGTTTGTTCTGTTTACTGTTCCGTTTCCAGTGCCTAGCACAGGGCCTGACACACAGCAGGTGCTCCATAAATATTTGCTACATGAAGGAATGCAGACAAATAAATTCAAGTACAAACAGCTCTCACCAAAATGAAGACAAAGAATAGGTTAGAAGAGCCCTGTGAGGAAGTGGATATTTAAGCTGAGCTATGAAGGATGGGAAGGATAGGCCATTTGAAAAGTGTTTAATGCCGAGGAAAAGTATGTTTAACACCTTGCCAGGGAAAGAGGTGGGGGAGATCAGGGAACTGGAAGAGGCAGATTTGGCTGCAGTGTAGAGAAGAGGCCTTGCTGGCGGCCTGAAGTGCAGCTGGAGAAGGGGAAGAGCCAGGTCACCCAGGCAGAGCGGGGCATCTTCCTATTAACCAGGGAGAAACAAAGGTCCGTGGAATCATCGTGAATGACACATGGTTGTCATTGAATCACACATGGTTTTAAAGGATCAAATCAGTTGCTTAAATTAAGACGCACTTATGTATTTTATGTCAGGTAAAATTCTAGGACATAGTGTTTATTCTCTTCTTCTGAGATTTTAAGCCACTTGAACACGAGTGAAGCTCAGAGTGGAAGCATGTGTGAGAACAGAGCTTGATTTTGGTGGTGCAAATAGACTCTCCAGATGTGATTAAAATAGTTAAAATCTATATCCATTAAAAATATGAAGTGCTTTTTAAAATGATTTATTCAGACTGTACTAATGTGGATTTCTTTAGGTGTATCATACTTGAGATGTTATAGAAAATCACAGTACAGGAAAAGACTAATGGTCCATTTCAAAAAATGCAATTATCATTGCTAAATTGATCACTTTAGTCTTCACTTCTCCACCCAGAAATAATGCAGATATTGATGAGAAAGTGTGCAAAATCACAGGGGCAATTTGGTGGACCTTCCTGAACATAACTGTACCAAAAGATTGGATGGGTTATATCCTGCGTGCTATAGACAGTGGTAGTCTATGTCCCAGTCCACACTGCTTCCCCTAGGCCTGCCACCTCCAGCCATAGTTTTCATTTCTTTGTCATTTATTTCATTGTCAAAGGTTGAAAAGCACTGTTTGTTAGTTGAAAATTCCAGAGGGCCTGCAAACATCTTTATCCACCAGCTTTCATCCCTTATTCATTCTTGAGCATAGCTAGGAGGAGAAATTGCATATGGCTTTATTCTGTTGATGATGGGATAGCATTGGGTAACAGAGTTTCATAAATTTTGCCATGAGCAACCATACTATTGAGGAATAGAATCATTCTCTATTAGAACTAGAAGGAACCTTGTTCTGACCACCTTGTTGTACAACTAAGAATACTGAGATAGAGAGGTCGTGCGGTTACTATGCGACAGAAACGAGGCAAAAACAGGGTCTCTTAACACGCTCTCCACTGGCCTTCTACTCCACTTTGCATTTTCCAAGAATTTGGTCATGCTTAAGCCAACAGAATGGCTTGATCACTGCAGAAAGCCTTTGGTAGTGATGCTGAGAATGCGATCAGATATACCAAGCAAGCAGGGGCCATGTGTTTTTATTTGCCTCTCTGCTATGATTGTTCCTTCCTTTGCTCTTTTCACTCTTTTGTCATACTGTAGCCCAAAATTTACTTGGTTCAGGACTGGCCAGTGTGACAGGGAGAGCTCTGGATTTTGAACTGCTGCTGCACCACTCACCAGCTCTCAGCTGACCTCTCAGGCCCTCTGTGCCTATTTCTTCATCTTCAGAACAGGGATGACAGTTCTCCCTCCCTGGATTATTGTGTGGATTAAATGGCACATGGTAGGTGCTTCCTTTCCTTTGAGGAAGGAAGTTCTGAGGCAGTTAAAAAAATTTTTTAAAGGCATCAATTCCCTGGTTCTTGCTCCAGACTTAAAGAAAAAGGTTTCTTCTGGCAAAGCACTTGTATATTCACTCTCTTTTTAAACCCTTACTATAGCTTTTCTAAAGATTCATTGAATCGATTATGACATTTATTGAGCACCAGTTATGTGCCAGGCAGGGTCATAGGTGCTGGAGCCATAGTTACAAAGGAGTCAAAGTGTTTATTCTTGCAGAGTTTACTTCTCATGGGGAAGACAGGCAATAATCAGAAATGATAAATGTATACTATGATACCAGAAGGTGGTAAGGGCACTAAAGGATGAGGGGAGGGGAGTGGCAATGCTGGGGATGGTGAGGACTCCCTTAGATAAGGTGATCAGGGCAAGTCTCTCTGCAGAGGTGAAATGTTTGACAGAGCCATATGGAAGAAGGTTTCAGGCAATGGAAACTGTAAGCACAAAGGTCCTGAGGCAGAAATAGGCTTGCTACATTTGAGGAGCAATGAAGAGGCCAGCGTTACTGGAGTAGAGTGAGCGATGGGAAGAGAGAATAGGAAATGAGTACAAGGTGGGCGGGAACCGGGTTGTATTTGGCCATATGGCTGTGATACAAAACTTTGGCAGTACAGATTGTGAGTGTGATGAGAAACATGGGGGAGTTTAGAGCAGAGGAATGACCTATTGTGATTTACTTTTTAGAAGGAATCACCCTGGCTTGTTATGTGAGGAATAGATTGTTGAAGTATAAGAGTGGGAGCAGGGAGACTAATTAGAAGATCATTTGTGGTAGCCCAGGCAGGAAAGGACGGTGGCCTGACCAGGGTTGTAGCCATGAAGGAGGGATCATCCTATACATACTGTTTCACAACCTATTTAAATGCTTATTTCTTTATAAAATCACTTATCTGTTAATATGGCTATGGTACTTTTATATTTTTAGATCTAGGCTTTTCATTCATTACAGACTGAAAATCATTTTTACCCAATCAGTTATAAACCTCTTCATAAATAAGGACTCGCCAGTGATGAGTCCTAGAAAAGGCTGTCTCTTGTTAGCCCAAACTTAGTTTCTTAACCCAAAACGCTGATCTTTCTTTCAGTGAGCCCTTAGAGGCATACATCTATTTTGGCCCCGTGTACTATCAGAAACTGAAACACATGGTACTGGATAAAATGCACGCCCGCGCCCGGGGCCCACGAGCCGTCCTTACCAGGTAAGGGAAGAGTATTTACAAAAAGAATTTATGATGCAGTCGAGTCTGTCTTTATTTTCCGGATACAATAAAATGCAGATTCAATAAAGTTTCTGTTTTCCAGAGATGTCAGAATTTTGGGTGTTAGACATTAAGAGAAATCATTTGTGTGTGATTAATATGAAATATAGCAGCCAATTAAAAATTATTTCACAGGCACAAGAGCAAAACTGCTGTAGGTTTTGCCAGTGGACTCCTAACACAGCCATTTACTATGTAAATGTTTGCAGATATGGTTCTATTCAGAAAGGTTCATATATAAGGTTCATACATATATACCCACACACATACGGATACACCGGCATGCACCCGTGTGAACACATGTGTACATTATTTGGAGCCCAAACCACAATTGTACTTTTTAAAAAACTAATGTTATTGGAGCATAAGGCACCTGTACTTGCATGTTTATGTGAATAAGCTCCAGCTGGTTAGGGTCCATGTGTGCCCTGATCACCAGTGTATCCTTCCTTAATTCCAAGCACAATGTCTGGGTGTTGATGAATGGGTAAATTGTTGGGAAAGGGATTTAGGACTACTGAGTTTCACATGTTCTTAGTACTACTTTTTCTAGTTGGAGAAGCATAGACTATGGCAGTAGTTCTCAACAATTTTGCCTCCCAGAGGACATTTGACAACATCTGGAGACATTTTCAGATATCCCAACTTGGGGGTAGGGGGAGGTAGTTACTGGCATCTTGTGTGTGAAGGCCAGGGATACTGCAGGTACGCCCCCCACAACAAAGAGTTGCCGAGCTCCGTATGTCAGTAGTGAAGAACTCTGGGCTAGGGGAGGGAACCCAGGCCTCGGAGCCAGATAGGCACAGATATGATCTCATCTCCACCTTTTAGCACTGTCACAAGCCTTGGACAGATCACTTAGCTTCTCACAGCTTCAGTTTTTCTCATATACAAAGTGGAGACGGTAATACCTACTTCACAGGGTGCTGGTGACCATCACGGTTTGAACATTGAATGTGTAGAGTGCTGATCCATAGGCAACGCTCAGTCAGTACCCGGTTCCCTCCCCGCTTTCACTGAACACTGCTTGGATGTAACAGCACATGGGGAGCAGGGAATGAAGCAGCTAGTGTTGTTTAGGTTTTGTTTTTTTTAAAACCAAGGAAGGGGTGTAGATGACTCAATCCCTTGACCATTTAAAACTGAGCAAATGCACATGTCTTTTGAAATGATAGACATATGTGGGCTTAAAATTGCAGCAGAGGGAAGAGAAGTTGAGATTCTTAACACGATAATCACCTCAGCAATGAGACCCTACTTGGGTTAGGTGTGTTTCTGCTCTAAATTCTGTCCCCTCCTAAACTGCCATGTCAGCTACAACATCCAAAAACTATTTCAGAGCAACATAAATGTCAAAGCAGTTATTGCCTATATTTTGCTTTGTTGTGTAAAAGAAGTTATTACTTTGGTATTACTTTTGTGTCTTCCGTATGAAGACTGCCTAGAGAGCATTTGTTTGTAGTCAGTTATCCCAGCTGGTTAAAATACAAATACTGGATTCTGACCACCTTCACCTTGCACAGTGACCTCAGGTTGAGGGAGCACCTACCCATGGGTGGTTCTGCCAGCAGATAAAAAGGTATAGATGTTGTGCTCAGTTATGAAGTTTCCACTTAATGTGTTCATTTAGACTTATTTGTGAGTCTTTCATGCAAAGATTTTCTTTCAACAAATAATCTACAACTTACTTGATCTCCTCTTGCAATTTTCAACAACACTTTAAAAATATTAAAAATTTTGGCTGGGCGCGGTGGCTCACGCCTGTAATCCTAGCACTCTGGGAGGCCGAGGCGGGTGGATTGTTTGAGCTCAGGAGTTCGAGACTAGCCTGAGCAAGAGCGAGACCCCGTCTCTACTAAAATAAATAGAAAGAAATTATCTGGACAACTAAAAATGTGTAGAAAAAATTAGCCGGGCATGGTGGCACATGCCTGTAGTCCCAGCTACTTGGGAGGCTGAGGCAAGAGGATCGCTTGAGCCCAGGAGTTTGAGGTTGCTGTGAGCTAGGCTAACACCTCGGCACTCACTCTAGCCAGGGCAACAGAGGAAGACTCTGTCTCAAAAAAAAAAAAAAAAAAATTAAAAATTTCAGCATGTGTTGGCATATACTGTGTTTACCTTCTTAATTCTTCGGGGGACCGGCAAGAACAACAAAGATTAAAAGATGCTATGTAATAAAGCAAACCAGGGGCTTATGGTTCACCCCTACCCAAAGAGGAACTCTAGGAAGTATTCCTCCAAAATAACCCAGCCAGGGAACTTGCTTTCTTTTCTTTCAAAATAATTTGTGTGCTCAGTACCTAGGTGGGGTTCCCTGAGTTGTTCATAACTCCCTAATTTTACCTACATCTCTGGGTCCTGGATTCTTACCTTTTTAAAGTATTCTCAAGCCCAGCATGTACACAAACCACAGGGAATCCATTTCAGGGGTTAACAGCCCTGGAGCCCTGGCAGTAACTTCTGGGAGACCCAGATTTCTTCCCCAATCTGTTCTGCTTAGTTTTTCTGCTTTTAAATAACAGAGTATTGAGACATCTCTGAAAATATTCAAAGACATTGTTCCCTTATTTGAGAACTCTACTATCCTAATAATAATGATAGTGACGGTAATGGTGATGATAATAGTAATACTAGCTAGCACTTGTGTTTTATGTGTTTACATATTAGTATATTATTACATCTTATAATGTTATATAGCTATATATTATTTTCATTTAATAGCAACCACCAGTATTACATCTCTTCTCATTTGAGGCTTTTTAGGATAGGTAGGCTTATGTGCTTTTACAAATGAGGCCGAGGAGCATGCTCAAGGTCACTGTCTAATAAGTGATTCGGATCCAGGTAAGCCCTGCTCCAAAGCCTTGTGCTCTTTGCCAGCATGTGATGCCATCTCTTTGTTTGTTTGATGTAATAAAACACATTTGTCTAATAATCTTTTTCAAAGGCAACCCACTGAAGGTCGATCTCGTGATGGTGGCTTGCGTCTTGGAGAAATGGAACGTGACTGTTTAATTGGTTATGGAGCCAGTATGCTTTTGCTAGAGAGACTAATGATTTCAAGTGATGCCTTTGAGGTTGATGTCTGTGGGCAGTGTGGACTTCTGGGGTATTCCGGCTGGTAAGTGGATTCCATATGTCTCTCATATCACACCCCTTGCCTCTTAAATCACAGCTCAAGAACTGACCCTGGATCATACCCACATATTCTCCATTGTCTGTGATCACTAACGTGCCCTTCCCTATGCATGCATTCCTGTACCTGGGGATTCTATATGTACATGTTTCATTTGTCTGCGTAATCTGCTTTCTACACTACTAGAGTTTAAGCTCCCAGAGAATACAAATTTTATCTGATTCTTAATATTATTTCAGGAACCTTTAATGACACTATATGCGTATTAAAAAAATCCTTGCAGATGCATTGTTGGAAGTTAGAACCACAGTATGTTAAAGAAACTCTTTAAAAAAGATTGTGTCAAATGCCCCATTTATAACTTCAGACTCAAAAAGCCAGGGATGCTTACAGCAAGTTGGTGACTAAGGCAAGACCAAGTCTTGTACCCTGACCACTTGTCCTCTCTCTACCATGGCAAGCAGCTTCACATTTGGACTATAAATTCCACGAGGGTGTGGAATGTCTCAGTCATTTATTCAACAACCATTTAATGAGTAGCTACTAATTGCCAGACACTATTCTAGGCCTCAGAAATATAGCAGAGAACAAAACAGGTGATGGCTGCTCAAGGGTGCTGACCTTCTAGTTCATTCTGATCACATCTGTTTTGTTTACCCCACTTCTCCAGCCTGGGACCTGGTAGATGCTTTATAAAAAATAGTTTCTGAATGATACCCTGCATTTGTAAGGTTGCCAATAAATAAATTATATAATTCATAAAGTTTATCATTTTCATGTACAGTTCAATACACAAAGGCCAGCTTAAAAGATGATGTTATATATTTTTTTTGTTTTTGTTTGTGTAGTTGCAGCACCTTTCCTACTTGTAATGATTCCAGTCTACCACCAAAGAACAAAAAGCTCTGTTTAGGGTTAGTCATGATCCTAAGTCCTAAAATACTCCTATAGGCAAGAGAGCCCACAGTTCTCCAGTCTCTACTTACTTTTCTGTCAGAGGCAAGGTCCAAGGCAGGTGCTAGGGGGCTGGGAAACAGCCCGAACCCCCCCATTACCCCTCACCTACCCTCCCCAGAGCACCTTTTTCCTAGGGAGAGGCCATCTCCAGAAGGATATATTTAGATCCAAATGAACATTCATTGCTGAGGTTTGAGGAATACATGGGCCACCTGTTCCCCACTGAGTCCCCCCTCAAAGCCTCCTTCCAGACAGAGTCCCAACTTCTTGCCATCCTGAGCTGCCAGTTTCTTGGTTGAATAAAGCCAATCAAAAGTCAGAACAAGTGGCTTCTTACAACACAGTATATATCTTGCTAGTTAAATGAAAAAACATCTTAGCCAATTATTTTATGATTTTGGTGTAGAAGATTTGATGAGTCCTGTCTGGGAAGAAATTATTTATTTTCAAAACTAGCAGAAGAGGTGGCCTTTTACAGTTCATTCTTTTCATAAGGTTGCAGAGATGGGGTGACATAGTTCTAAGAATAAGCCTGGCTCTTTTGTACATCCATGAGATGGGGGTTTGCTTCAGTGTTGAGATGTCTATTCATCTTTTGGAATGCATATTGAGCTTGCCTTTTATAGTCTGGGCTGAGGAAGGAAGGAAGGAAGGGAGGAAGGGAGGGAGGGAAAGATGCCTGGAATCTAGTTCTACTATGCTTAAATCTTTAAATTTGGCACAAGGAGTTTTAAGTAATTTACTTTGAAAGGATGGTATACAGAAGAGTCATTGCATTAAAAATAGAGGTCATGAAATTTCAAAAAGAGTTTCCTTTTCTTCTCCCTGTATTCCTCCCCCACCCTCAAAGAAAAAACAGTAAACCAGATTCACTTATGCACTTTAAAAACCTTCCCTTCTCCTCTACTGGTACTCAGGGAAACTAATGTAGCAGTGATTGATGTCTCAACATTCTTCTGTTAAATGTATATCTTCTTTCCTGCTTCATTTCTGTCTCATTTAGAGATCATCTGATGGCAATGCCTGTTTTGAAACCCATGTGTTCAGTGTGAATTGTATTTGAAATCCTTTGAAAGGACTAAATCAGGTTATACGGTTTGAGGGTCTTTACTGTAATTAAACAGACCTTAATATACCGAATGTCTGATTTTGAGTGGCCTACTTACACCCTTGTTGCCAACAGAAAAAAATCCTAATCCATTCTGGTAGTCTAGCCGCCTGCTCGTGTGCTGCTTCTAGCCGAGGAACATAATGATGCTGTCATTTTTCCCATCATTACCTGATCATGTGCGCAGGGTTGTGTGGGAGGGAGCACGGGCGCTTGTCGGAGGAAGTCGCTCTTTAATGAGCCGCACAATGGAGGCTGGGTAATTAGAGCAGTTCAGAACCTTGAAACTGGCCTTTTGTCAGTGATTTGCACATTAGTAAGGCATTGCTATGGGGATGTTTACAGCAAGACTGTTGTTCTGTAGAAGACACCAAGGGCATAAGTCACAAAAGAGAGGTCCATAAGGAAAGCTACAGGGAAAAGAAAATCCCTATTAAGATAATTAGCTCATAGAGGATATTTCACTGGACAATCATTTCTCCTGAAGCCACAGCCACCCCCTTTTGCTGTCTTTGTCCTAAAAAATCAGTTTATTTTGTTGTTGTTCAGGTCAAGTTTCTACCTTTGGAAATTGTTCAGACACAGGGTAAGGTAATTTATTTACACACACACACACACACAGTTGCATTGGAACATTTTAAATGATGGAGAAATATTTAATAATAGAGAAGATAAATGGGCCTTCTGGATTTTTGAATCAGCATATATGGAAATTTTAACTAGATTAGCTTGCATTGAAGTCGTAGAGTAATGTACTAGACATGAGAATCAGCAAGTAGTTACCCCAGTTAAATCCATTTCCTCAATTAAAGCATGAACGCGAATGGTGAATAAATTAGATCAACTCAGGCACATTAAAAACATAATTCTTAAATTCTAATGCATTAAAGAGGTCTTCAGGTAATTTTTTAAGAAAAAGTAACTCACCAAGTTTATATTATTACTGTCGATAGATCAAGTACTCCACAGTTTTAAGCACCCAGAGTCCCCTGATCATGACATCAAGCATGCGTGTGTGATGATTCATCTTCTCCCATTCTCTTCTCCTCAAGAAGTTCTTTATCTACATAGTTATTCACCACCACGTTCAAATTCCCAGCCTCTGTGCTTACTTTTATTTTCTAAAATAATAAAAACTTTATTTTGCTCATTGCAAAAATGATCCCTGCTCGTTGTAAAGTTATAAAAAATATAAAGAAAAAGTGACAGTCACATTAATTTCTACTTCCCAGAGATGACCATTGTTAACATTTTAATGATTCTTCTTTGGGACTTTTCTGATTGCCAGTAATTCTTTAAGTTTTTGTTTTTTTTGGTTACAGACCCTTTCAAGATTCTGATAATAGCGGAAAAATACAAATATACACATATAAAAAGAAAAATCCTTACAAATTTTACATATGATTTTGGGGGCTCTATACACTTAGTGAAATCCATCTGAGGGCCCAATTAAGACCATGCTGTTCAGCAAGCTGCCTTTTTCACTCCACAGTGTGTCCTGGACACCTTACATTTTAATAAATACGAATCTACATCATCACGTGTGATAGCTGCACAGCATCCTTCTATATGAATGTTCCACAGTCACGGAAACACTCGCCTAGCAGACAGTTGCACAGTCTCCTGCTTTATGCTTTTGTAAATAATGTGGCTGCAAACATTCTGTGCATACACCTTTGCCACTTTTATGATTACTTAATCAAAGAATGCGCACATTTACATTTTGCACACATACTGTCTTGCTACCCTTCAGAATGGCTAGTCCTTTGTTCACTGAGGAATCTCCCTCCAGGTTCTGGTCTAAGCCTCAGTTGCTATTCTTCTTGCATTCATTTTCCCCCATTAACTGTGGGGACCTAGTTTTCTACCTATTAATATCAGGATTTGTCCTAGCTGTCCCAGACCTACTGTCCTAGCTGCCCTAGACCCTCAAGGAGTAGTGTCAGGTTCTGTTTTGGTCTGAAACCTAAAAGAATAATTCACGTTCTCCCCAGGGACCCTTCTTCAGTTGTAGCCACTGATTAAGTTCAGTTCACTGGTTCTTCCTGAAGGAAAAGAAAAGAAAATCCTGGAATTGGCATGGTAGGCATATTGGTTAGGAACATGGGCCGTTGTAAGGATTAAATGGGACTGTATGTGCATGCATGGACACACACACACATTCCTTCATTTTGCACAAGGGACAGCACAGCGTAAGTACAAATACAGTACCTTCCAATACTGATAGAAATAACCAAGCCTGAAGAGCACTGGAAAAATTAGCATTTAGTTGGACACCACTCTCCTATTCAAAAGTCTTGTTTTTTAAGACTTTAAATATCTCAATGACAGAAATCAAATTGTAATTGTTGCGCATCTTGCCTATAATGATATATTACTAGTATCGTAGATGCTTATCAAATACATGGAGATTGATTGAATCAGTTTAAAACTCTTTAAACAATGAAAAAATCTAAATCTGAGTAAATTTCTGATGCTTTGGATTTCTAGGGCTCATTCAAAACAAGTCTATGGGCAGATGTTTTTCATTTTAAGGAGAAAGGTCTAGAAATTTGGTAACAACTGATTCAGGTTGCATGCTTATAACACTGGAGGGAGTGGTATTTGTTTTATTTTTTTTCTTTTACTTCCTGGTATGTTACTTTTTATTTTCCGGGCACTGTACATATCTGGCAATGCAACTGAACACTTAAAAAAAATAACTAATTTCGTGGAATGATAATAGAATTTTGTGGAAACAGTTCTCACTTCCTGTGTGGTAGACCTTTGTTTCTGAGCTGCTGACCCTCTAACACATGCTGACTTGGGTTTCAGGTGCCATTACTGCAAGTCATCATGCCACGTGTCTTCCCTCCGCATCCCGTATGCCTGCAAGCTGCTCTTCCAGGAGCTGCAGTCTATGAACATCATCCCCAGGTTAAAACTGTCTAAGTACAATGAATGAGGATGGAAAAGATGATTATTTAAATAGAACAAGTGATATGTTCAATGCAATGGAAAGCAGAAGGGATTGAGGACTACTACTCCTCTGAATAATTCCTTTGAGTGTTCTCTCATTAAAACAACGAAAAATTGATGAAAGTCTTTTTATGTGCTAGAAGACTGAGTAAACAACCTGGATCAGTGAGCTTCCAGCCATGGGAGAGATGCCAACAATAGGGACTTTAACGCAGTTTGATTCACAGATGTACATGACCTGAAGGGTAAACTTTTATTTATGTTCTGATACCTTGAAATTTACTCATTGGAAGAACTTACTCATTAAGAGAATGCTTGGGGTTAAATTTCCCATGATATCTTCTGGCTAACAATTTTCAAGATTCTTCTGCAACTTGGAGGATCTGAAGAATTCATTTGATTTGGTCAGTTTGACTCTTGTTGAGGTGGCTGGTTCTGAGCAGTATGTGGAGGAAAGAGGACCACATGAAGCTGAGATAGCAGCCAAGTGATGGCTTTCTTGTCTGGTACTGTGGGGGATAAATTTTCCCAACAATTAAATCTTGCCTTTACATACCCAAACTTTGTAATTTTAATCTTGGTGAAATATAATAAATTTCTTCCTACCTTGTTAAACAAGAATGTCATCTTTTCTCATAGACTCAATTGCTGCTATTTTGAACCTCCATGATCATACGATACAAAAATATTTATTAAATATCTGAATATAACTTCATCGATGCTTTGTCATTTTCTGTTCCTTCCATTTCTATCAGGATGTTAGCTTTCCATTTTCTTTTTAATCTGACAGCCTTCTTTATTCATTTCTAATTTGTTCTCAACTGCTCTGCCCTGAAGCCAGATAAATATTTGTGTTAAAGATTGTTTATAAAATAAGAATCAGAAAAGCTCTAAGGTTACATTCCTAGCATGTCCCACTGAAAATCGTCCACAGAATATTAATAGGTATTATACACCAACAAGAATCAAGCTCCAGTGTCAAAATAAGGTTGAGAAGCTGGGTGTAACCAAGTTAAACATCCACAGGCTTTTCTCAAAGCTTTAAGATCCCAAGCTAATGGGTATTGGGACTGTCCAAAAGAGAGATACTTTAGGAGCCAGACTAGTTGTTGACTTGAGAGCTCAACCTCACTTTGTGTTCTTCACAACAAAAATCTCTAACACAGGTGTAAAAGTCATAGAGGCTTCACTGTGTAGGACACTCTGCAAGTGAGCAGGCCTTCCTCAACCTTCCCCAGCCTTCCCTTCCGGGGCTCGATGGCTATTACAAAGGCAGAGGACTTTGCCCAGATCTTCGCTATGCCAGTTGCTCCTTTAGCTTGTAGCTCTCAAAATTGATGGTGCATCAAGATTGAATATACAATCATTCTGTGCTTTGTGGGCTGTTTAAGGAGTTTCTACGGTGATCTCGACTACCCCACATTATGCGGCAACACCCCTTACCAACTCCATCAGAGATACAGTTGCCAGCAATGTGTGGCTCACTGTGTCAGTGAACACTCAGAGGGTCAGGACAGGAAGATTTCGGCAGTGTGCTTACTGAGTACTGGCGCAAAGACTCCATCATTCATCGTTCAGTACCTGCCATGCAGGAGACACTGTGCTAAGGATAAAAGGAGAGCAGGACATGGTCTCTGCCTAACGGAGCACATGATCCAGTGGAGGAGGCAGAGTCATGCCATCTAGTCACAGCAACCGTCCTGCTATCAGTGCTAAGGATTAACCTCGTCAGTGGTGAGGGAGTTCCCAGGACAAAATGATGAACCATGCTCTGGAGATCTGGAAACACTTCACAAGTGTGATTATTCCCTTTATACAGCAGAAGAAACTGAGGCACTAAGTAGGTAAGTAACTTCTCAGTGTCATACCACCAACAAGGGGACAGCAAGGGCTTCGAGACCAGGCTTCCTCACTTAGCTTTGTTTTGGTTTTATCCATGACTATATTTTTCAGTCTCCAAACTGACAATTTATTTTTAATTCAAATGCCACTCAGTGGTTGTATCTCTTATAGATAAATATCTTTTTTGGAAAACTGTTCCAGGCCATTCTGATCATTTTGAGGAGTCACCTTTTTAACCGTATGGAAAATTCTAAGTTCTCTAAGTTTACGGGATCTAGAAAGCATGAGTTCCAAATTGAGACATCCTCAAGGGAAAAAATTCTTCAGCTTGATATTTCAGAAATTAGCAGACACTATCTTTGAATAGCTATTTGACTCTCAGAAATACTCTAATAAAAAGGCAGCTAGATTGTCTACCAGTGAGATATTTAGAAAAAAAAAAAAGGCAGCCATAATTGGTGAGTTAGTCCTACTAGTTTTATTTTTTAAAGTTATTTAAAGTTACTTGTTTTTAAAAACTACTGATTAGATTTCCATTTCCAGTAATGATGGAGCAACTTTTTTTTTTTTTCATTTTAAATGATTTTATTACAAACAACTGACCCAGTAACATCATTTAGTTAGCATAAGAGATGGTACAAGATTATTCAGGTGAAAGGTACACTAAACAGGCCACCCTTGAAACACTTTTTCCCCTCAAGGCTTTTGCCAGGTTGGATGTGGCAGAGGGATGAGGCCAAAAAGTCACACCAAAAGCCACTACGAGGCTGTGACCCTGACAAGAGCTTCGACAGAACCAAAGAGCTGGGGAGACAAAACTGTGGGCTCATAGTTGCCAAGACACCAGAACTGGAGAGGCCAAGATCCCAGATAGAAAGAAAGCACGTTGAGGTGAGCTCAACTTAGTTACCACCTTTCCCCTTGACTCAGCATGGCCTGCCAGAACAGAATACCACCAATTGCCTGGCTTAAATGACAGGCATCTATTTTCTCACAGTTCAGGAGGCTCAAAGTCCAAGATGAAGGTGTCAACAGGGTTGGTGTCTGGTGAGCCTCCCTGCCTGCCAGCTGGTGGCCACCTTGTCACTGCGTCCTCACATGGCCTTGGTGCACACACACGAGCGAGCCAGCTTAGGTGTCTCTTCTTATAAAGACACCAGTCCTATCAGCTTATATGACCACATTTAACCTTAATTATCTTCTTAAAGGCCCTATCTCCAAATACGGTCACACTGGGGGTTACAGCTGCAACATATGAATTTGGGGGGAACACAATTCAGTCCATTATACCCCTCAAGGCATTTGCCAATTTATAACAGCACAGACTGAACTGTCAGCAGTATCTATTAAAGCTGAACAGACCTGGTGAGTCCATTCCTAGGTATGTGGCCAGCAGAAATGTATACATATGTGTTATCAGTAGGTGTGTACAAAAATGTTTCTAGCAGCATATCTGTAATAGTCCCAGGCTGTAAATAACCCCTGCCCATTAACAATAGAACAAATGGTGGTATGTTCATACAACGGAGCACTATGCAGCAATGAAAAACGAGTTGCTACTACATACAATATCATAAATAATCTCACAAAGATAATATTGGGCAAAAAAAAGTTAAGCCCAAAAGAATACATACTGTATTGGTTCCTTTTAAGTTCAAAAATGGGCAAAGTTAATCTATGACATAAGAAGTCATGATAGTAGTTTCCTATGCAGAGTATGTGGCTAATGGCTAAGAGGGTACAAAAGGAGATTCTAGGACGCTGGTAGTATTTTGTTGAACTGATTGTTGATTACATGGATGTGTTCATTTTATGAAAATTCATTAAGCTATATCCACTCAGGATTTTTCACTTTTCTGAATGTGCATTATTCTTTAATAAGTTAAAAAAAAAGCCTACCAGATGACTAAGCGATTAAGAACACAGCTAAACCTGTGTTTCAGTCTCTTAATACATGTCACCCCAAATGTAACATACTGTCTTTGTTCTTTTAGTTTTCTCGTCTTCAAAATAGGTGTAATAATAGTACCAACACCTAGGGCTATTTTTAAGATTAAATGAGATAATGTATCTAAAGGGCTTACCACAGTGCCTGACACATAACAGGAGTTCACAAATGTTTGCTATTGTTTTAATAGTAATCATGTACACCTTACAGCACTGCCAGGACTAGCCCTGTCCTGTACAATTTCATCAGGCAAGAGTTAGAAAAGGCAAACCCTGAGTTTCCTTTGGAAGAGAGAGTTTGGAAACTAGGACCAAGGTCAGAAACTGTAGGGATTTGCAAAAGCTATTTGGGAAAGCCTCCCCATTAAACAGTGGTGGGGAGGAAGGAAGGTGGTGGAATTAGAGAACACACTTCCCTGCAACAACCATTCACCACTGACATCAAAGTGAGGCCTGTTGTCGGTGCGGGAGTCCCAGAATAGTTTCATGAAGCCCGCAGAACCAGTTCTCAAAATGCTTCCATGTGGTGAGAGTCAAGAAAGGATTGAAAAAAAAAAAGGTCCTTGATTGGGTGCTACATAATGGGATAGTTTTCAGCTGCTTCAGAGCATTTTTGGCCAACACCTTTATTTGCAGTAATGAGTCACATGAGAGTGAACACATTAGGGCAAGTGGCTGGGCCCATCCGTTCTCCGCCATCTGAGTAATAGAGAAGCCAGTTTCTGAGAAACCTGTAAATAATTCCGTTGTGAAATGGATGGTCAGAAAAGTGACTGTAAAAGTAGCACCTCTTTACCATCCATATTTACTCCATATGTGTCTTGAAAACAGTTTATTTCATTTGTTGACCAAAAGTTGAATTTTTACAATGTCGGCCCTTAGGGCCAAGGTTGGTGGGAAATTAATGTTGAGCTTTAAAGAAGCAGTTTTAAATGGGGGAAAAAAAGTAGTGGCAATCTCAAAGTATGTAGATTACCAAAGCCAAGCTACCAATTTGGATTTCAGACACGGGCTCCAGAAGCAATTCATGGTCAGAATGTATGGCAGAAAATTTCAGAGCAACCCAAAACTCGGCATTTTTACTCACAAGTCTAACATCTCAGAACAGGGTCAAAGGCGTTAAAGTATTTTCCAAGTCCAGGTAATAGCTCTCGTTCCATGGATGATAAACTTTAAGTCTGGTTAACTTCCAATCATCCACATTAATGGAGGCAAGAAGTGATGTGAATAAATTAAAACATGATGGATTGAAAATCTTTCATATTGGTTGCTGGGATGAAGTTTGTATTCACATTTTTAATATAACTTGTGTGGAAGTTTGGCGAATTTGCTATACTTGAAATAGTGACTCCTGTTAGGAACACTGTATGAAGAAAGTGGAATAATAATACCTTTTATGGTTAAACAATGATGACAGATCTTTGGGAGGGTGGGGTAGCCTGACTCAATTGCGATACTTCTAGGCCAGTGGTTCTCAAAGTGTGGTCTCTGAACGAGCAGCATCTGCATCACC